ATCCCCATATAAACAAGTTGTACAAGATAGCCACAAGTAATGTCAATTTATTTTTAGCATAACAAATGCTTTTGTACTTTTGAAAATAGAAGGAATTAAATGAAATGAAATCCTTTTGTTTTTATCGTGTTTCTTGTTTGAACGATGAACTAACTTTGTCATTTGAAAGTTAAACAAGTACTTCAAATGCTAGTGCCATAATGAACAGGAGACGTCCTCTTCAATGGCACCGTAAACATAAGAGGGCCCTATCTTATGAAAACCCTCACGTTAAAGGGTTGGTTTTGGACGAAAATCCGAAAACAAAATGCGTCATCAGGACCGGGGACTGCGCAGCCAGCCCCATAGAAACAAGTTGTACAAGATAGCCACAAGTAATGGCAATTTCCTTTTAGCATAACAAATGCTTTTGTACTATTTAAATTAGAAGAAATTAAATGAAATGAAATCCTTTGGTTTTTATCTTGTTTCTTCTCTGAACGATGAACTAACTTTGTCATTTTAAAGTTAAACAAGTACTTCAAATGCTAGTGCCGTAATGAATAGGAGACGTCCTCTTCAAGAGCACCGTAAACATAAGAGGGCCCTCCCTTATAAAAACCCTCACGTTAAAGGGTTGGTTTCGAAAGAATTTATGCCCAGAATCAAAATGCCTTCGGGGAAAAATGCACCCGAAGACTACACGAAAGGACGCAAAAAAGTATACATGCACAAAAACTTAAAGAAACCCTCACATAAAAGGGTTAATGCTCGGAACCAAAGCGCTTCGAGAAAAGTGCATCCGGGACTACATATAAGAAAGCGCGAACAGAAAAACGCGTGTAGAATTTTTAAACAAATGCAAAAGTTAAAGACTTGCATGGATATTCAAAAGAAAGTAAGACTCAAATAGTAATTGAGCAAAATACATGTCTTTATTTACACAAAAGTGCCAAAAAAGGCAAAGATACAAGAATGGGAAAAGAAAAGGAAAGTTAAATTGCAGCATCTCCGGGACCAGGAGAAAGAGAAGTGTCTATGTCTCTGGGAGAAGCAGATGGATCCACCGGTGGGGTATTGTGAATGGAATGCACCGCTGCGGAATTGTACATGGCATTGTTCAACAAACACTCTCCCGAGAGTGCTTGAATCTTTTCACAATCTTTTTCTGAAGCCAAATGCTTCAGATAATTAGTAAGCTCTACCGGCCGGGAAAGCAGGTTGCACCTGGTAGAAATCGAAAGGATAACATTCCTCCTCCTCTGTGGATCTTTAGAAGGGGCAGCATAATTTTGCCCCAAATTCTCATGAACTAGGGACTGGGGAAGAGGGGTACCCTCTCCATGATCAGGTGCGGACGACAGAAATGATGTAGCAGTTGCTGGTGTTGGTGAAGGTGGAGATAAAGCTGATGGAGTCGAAGGGTGAAAAGCAACAGCATCAAATGCAGTGCTGGCCGATGGATGTTCGCCAATCAAAGAAGGCAAGGATTCGGTACGCAACCCTGCAGTACCGAACGCAGCAATTGGGACCCGAAAATAGGAATTGGTGTTATCCACAAAATCAATCTCTCCTCAAAGTGCCGAGACATCGTCTTCGGTTGGTGTAACTACCTCAATAAGTCGAGCATCCTGTTGAGACGATGAGGATCGTCGCCTTCTATGAAGAGAAGCTCCTTCATCACTAGAATCTTCATCATTATCAATCATCACGGTGTCTATGACCGGCCCGAAAGGAGAGCCAGTCACCATCACCACCGGAGATGATTTAGGGGCATCAGTCTTTGCCCTATTCTTTTCCCCGGTCGAAGAGAAACGTCTTCTCTTTGATTGTTTGTCCTCCGGCCGGGGACTCCGTAAAGAAGCGTTCGCGCCCGAAGCAGGCCCGAAGATACCTGTTCGAGTAAGTGCCTCCTAAAGCAACCTTGCAGGATCAGCCAAGACGTCCTCCTCGGGGACAGCAACCGAGCCCGCAGGTAGACCTAATTTCGTGAACAAGTCAGAAGGGTTCAACCAAGTTCTTCACATAAACAATTGAGGCAAGGTAAGTTAAAATTACCATGATTTTTGGCCTTCCACCCGTACTTAAGGGCCAGTTCTTTCCACAAACGAGTTTCGGGCGTCATAACGTTTAAGATCTTCTTAACACACCGGTCCAAGCCTTTCACCACCAGTGGGGTCCATTGAGTTGCTGAAACATACGAAGGATGAAGAATCAATACGGTAATAGAAGAATATTTAGTGAAAGAAAATATACTAAATGGAGGTCTTACGAGTACTGTTCCAAGTGGCCTGAAAGGATGAAGTCGTTGACGGAATGATACTATTGGTGGCGATTTCAACGAACCGTTTCGTCCACCTACAGTCGTCACCATCATCCATGCTAGTCAACAGAGCATGGTAACCATGTTTGCAGAGGCTTATCATACCCCTCCCCCCCCCCCANGGCACAAGCGTCGAAGGCAGGCAACCGTCCTCCACACTGAAGGACTTACCTATGCCAAGCACACTTGGTAGCGAAGGAAAAACTCCGCAATCACGGTATCAAGCTCTCCACTCAAAGAAAACGCATCCAAAGTAAAGGGATACATATAAAAATATGTAAAACCTTCCCTGGGAAAGGTCACTCGCTCCGATAGATCAGGAGGAATGATGCCCAACTCATGGCAGGGGAAGTCTTCCTTCACAGTAGGAATATTGGAAGGACGAATGGAAAAAGGATACCTACTAACTGCCTATGTACGAGGGTAAGCAGTAGGGAATTTCTCTTCAAGATCCTTTGTGGTGTTGAGTCTTCTTGGGATGATGGATCCCACCGTTGGAGGAGCAGAGTCCTCGGCCTTGCTCTTGTTCTTTGAAGAACCAATGCATTTGGAAGAAGAAGCCATTAAATAAGAAGAAAGAAAAAGGTTTTTGTTTGAAGAGACTTAGAGAGAAGATTGAAAATAAAGGTGCAAATCAAGAGCTTGGAAACTTATGGAATACAAAGGAAAAAAGGATGATGCGTATAAGTAAAAGTTTGGCAGCTAAATCCATGGCCATGATTACTTCGATAATCGGCAAAGATTGTGCTGAATCGTGGGATTACGCATGTTTTGGGGTATTAAATGCGGAGAGACATGCGTCTAATCAACCGTCAGAAGCCTGCAAAGGGATTTATAGTAATTTCCGCCAAAAAGATTGTTTCTACCAACTTCCCGGTAATACAAAGTTATGTCATCGGAAAGCATGGGGACTATATGTATAGGGTAAAATACGATATGACATGTGGTCATCTAAAGGAAGGACACGTGGAACCCAAGACGGAGATGGCCACCGAACGCAGCTATCCGCTTATCACCGGAAGGAATAACGATCATAAAGGTGTATTAAATGCTCTGCGCCCGGTAGCATTTAATATGAAATATTCTGCAGCATTAAGGGCGACGGCCCGTTGTAGGGAATTTGGCATTTATGTCCACCATTACATCTTCATAAATGGCCCTCATAATTAACATTAAAGGAGGGCACGATCCTAGGACCTCCTTCCCTAGACACAGCTATAAATAGAGAGCTCAGTTATCATTGTAAAGGACACAAATTTTCTCGCTAACTTATACTACATTCTATACAAAGCTTAATACAATTTTACTTTCTTTCTTTTGATCTCATCATTGTTGTGCCCGAAAACCTTGTTCCCGGATTCATCAACTCTGCTACTTCATCTACATTTTAAGACTAAGTATTGTATATTTCTTCAGTTATTTCTTTATTTCAGGATCAAATAAGTTCACTTATCTAGAAATTACGTATAAATTCAACTGTACTGTTTTATAGGTAAACAATTAGTTTATTTATTTAACCTTGCGTTTAATTATTTGATTGCTTGATCACCAATTAAATACTATCTATGAATCTAGGATTGAACTCGGGAGAGGGAATTCTAAATTGCAAATAAGATTGAGTAGAGCGAGATCTTGAACCTGAATATTGGGGAACAGATTTGCGATTAGGATTGGGATATACCTAATCGTCTTGCTTGGTTATCATACGAGAATTATTAATGCGTTCTTGTTATCCTAATCCATAGGAATATAGGCGGTAGGTTAGCTTGAATAGGCGAGTAGTACTTCGGGAGAATACTACGAGTAATATTAACTCTGTCAATCAATATTCCAGATAAATTAAGCAGACAATTTAAGTGGAAGACTCAACGAGATTGTTAGCTAACCATAGCTCTAGAATATTTTTCCCATTGAATTCGTCTCTATGATTGCCAAGTTGTTTATTTGTAATTGCTTAGTTTGGTACTGTAGACTAGTTTTAGTTAAATATTCATACTTTAGAAAATCGCTTGAATATATTAATTGTCTTAGTTTAATTTAGTAAATAGTTAATCACAAGTCCATGTGGGTACGATATCTGGACTTACAATCCTATATTACTTGTGCGACCACGTATACTTGCGTGTGCATTTGGGAGCAACATGCACTTTTCGCTTACTGAAATTTAAACTATATGAACATTGATAAACATTTTAAAAGGTATTTTTCATCATATTGATATAATAAGGATTGTAAATTATAGTACTTTTTGTATAGTTTTTGAATATCGAAATTTTTATTTATAAAATATTAAATTAATTTAATTCAATTTAGCTTCAAAGACTAGTCAAATTGACTTTTGATAAGCAAAAATATCACATAAATAGGGACAGAGGGAATAATACTTTTTCCAACTAATTGGTAGATAGGTAGAGAAGTTTGAATTCAAGAAATTAAAGGGTAGGAATATCTACGAAGATTATTTCTGGATTCAATCATGAAGCAAATTAATATTGGTTAGACGAACTTTAAGAAGAAATTCAAATTCGATTCAACTACCTACTCGAAAAGTTGTAATGCTGAAGGTATGTAAGTTTTTTTCTCAGTATCTATTTATCTTCTCTTGATGATAGGAAGGAGCACAACCTAACAGTCAATATTCACAATCATATATTTTGCTAAACCTAACATTCCACGACGTACGCTACCTCATATATAAACCTTGAAATCCTTTCTCGTCAACCAACTTTAAGAAAACACAAATCTTTCGTCTGCGGGTCTATCTCTCTCTCGTTCTTGCTGGTTCATGCTTTGTTTTTCTATTTTCTTCATTCAATTTTCTGGGGTTTTATTGGATGGCAACGAGGAGGAACAAAAATATACAAGCCAAGCTGGTAGGTATGTTCTTCCCTTTGTTAACTCTTTTTTGAATTCTCTTATTAACGTTATTCGGTTTTTGTCCCTTTCATGAGTTTTTACTTCTCGCTTTCTATGTTTATAACATTAAGCATGGCTTGGTAAAAATTCAATAGGCTCCTGCAGAGGTATTTATTAATCATACGAATCTCAGTCAAAAACAACAAGAAGGGGAAATTAATGATGCAATTTCGATGAAACTAGATCTTGTTAAAATGATCAGTTTATATATATAATCAGATTTTCTAATGTTTCAGGTACTGCTGGGGGACATGGGCACTGGAAAAACCAGTTTAGTGTTAAGATTTGTCAAAGGACAATTCTTTGACTTCCAGGTTTCGTCTAATGCATGCATAACCAATTCTGAATTAGTTTCCGTGAATATCTTTCTTTTTATCACATGAGTACTGTTATTGAAACTTGTAGGAGCCAACAATTGGAGCAGCCTTCTTTACTCAGCTACTTTCTCTAAATGAAGCAACCATAAAGTTTGACATATGGGACACTGCAGGACAAGAGCGGTACCACAGTTTAGCTCCCATGTACTACCGTGGTGCAGCAGCTGCTGTTGTAGTCTATGATATCACTAGCAAGGTACCCTGGATCGATCTGCTCTCCTGTTACATATTTTTATTGCTTAAAATCTTTAATTTTACACATTTCTTTATTTAAAAATAATTTAACTTTAAATTCTCGTTTTATTATTACTAAAATGATTTATAAACACACTCTGACTTAGGCCACAAGTTAAAAAAAAATCAAAATATAATCACATAAAATGGGATTGGGAGGGAGTACGTACCTGCAAAGAGAAAAATGCACCTCCAACTAGTCGGTATAGGTTAGGGGTTCGAGTACATGAAGAATCATTATTTATCCCCTTAGGTAGCTGGGTGAAAGGTAATATTATTATAAATTCAAAAAAATGGGAAATCTTGGTGGAAAAAAATCTTCAAGTTGCTAGATGAACCAACAAAAATTTCTTCTCGAACGACTTGATTACCTTGCTAACTTTATCAGTTACATGCCTTTAACACTAGATTAGTCGACCATGTATGAATAAGACATTTTCTTGGTGAATACTTTTATCAAATTTGTCATTTAACTGGATTAAATCAATCTATTGGGTTCAGGATTCATTTGAAAGAGCTAAAAAGTGGGTGCAACAGCTCCAAAGACAAGGTAAACAAAATTGGTACACTTTGACTGGCTTACGTTTTGAATCTAAAGAGACGAAAATGAAACAGTTCCGATGTGGAAAATGAACATAAAGTCCCTCCATTCTGCTTTATGTGGCAAAATTCGAAATACTAGGGTCGAGGTACTAAATTTTCGATGAGTTTGGACATAGAGTATATTTTTAAGTTCTTGAAAACAAAATTTACATATTTAAAAACTTCACAAAAAGTACTTAAGTTGTAATACTTAATTATTCGAGATATTTTTAAAAAAGAATGAAGAAAAGCATGGTCAAAGAACGAAGAATCTCTTTGACTCCTTAAATAGTAACATAGTCACATATAATTAATTAATTGGAATAGAGGGAGTATTATGGTGTCCGATTCAGGAATTTAAGTAAAGGGTTCAAAAGATAAAAGAAGAAAGCATATTAAGAAGTTAAGGGGATTTAACATCTGTATAAATATATATTTATCTATACTATATTAAAAGAACGAAGCCCCTTAGCGAAATATCGTTCGCTTTTTTTATTCTTTTAAAATAAAATTCACATTAGATAAAGCAGCCATTTAATTATTTTCCTAGTATTTAGGACTTGAAAATTCGTTAAAATATGGTTATTGAATCTTTCCATATTTAAATTATGTACCTAAAAGTTAGGACTGTAAAATTGATTAAAATTTTACCTTAAATAAATATCTAAAAAGTCAATTATTTGGAATGTTAGTACATGTGTAGTAGACGTTCTTTTGAAGAAGTTTCGACAATTACGTGAGACATCCTAATGGTATGAACTCAATAATTTTTTAACATCAATGAATTATTTGTTTTGAAGAATAATTTTACTTCACTTAGTACTTGCAAAACCTTATATTAATTTATTCTAATTATTTATCTATTTATATTATTATAAAAGAACGAATGTTTTATACTAAATGTTGAATGACAAAAATATCCTTAAAATGTTGATCGACTTTTATACTATTATATTTTATCAAAAAGATAGTTCCATATTTGATAAAATAGTAATATCTAATACGAATTTTGCCTAATATTTGGGAATCTGACACCAACTAATAATAGAACTTTTTAAAATTATAATTGAATGAAAAGTTCTAATACTATACTAATTGTACCTGGACAATTACACGGAACAATAGTAGAATCCCATATGCTTTGAGTTTCAAACCCATAATAATATCCCACGCATGCACATATGGCCTCTATATAAATAATTTCATTGTATTCACGCTATTGCAACACAAAACATCTATACGCGGATCTTTTAGAGGTAATTTTCGTCTCTTTCAGTATCATATTTTATAGATTATATTTTGGCTCTCTAACATAATCAAAGGAAAGCTACTGACAATTACGAAGTTGAATGTTTAATTTTGTGCATGTTGGCTAATAATTCATCCACATCTTTATGGGTTGTTAAGAAAAAATTTTGTTTGTTTGTTTGTTGGAAGGGGTATTGATGTAAAGATTAAATTAAGTTACACTCAGAATAGTGGAAATATGGTCTCTACATCCCATCCCATCCAAAAGAACTATATTGTAATAGGAGGATACTTAAGGAGGAAGATGAGAATATATTAATTAACAGAAAAGGTTTAATTTGCGGCATCAACCGATGAGAATGGATGAGGAAGTTAGAAGGAATACTGAATGGTATATTTTTAAACAACAAACTAATCCATTTTTATCGTACTTTAAATAATTTTGTTGTCTAAGATGAGAGTCATATAATTTAGAATTCTTCTTTACGTAAATATTCAAACGTATACACTACTAGAAATCCGGTAAAAATTAACCAAAAAAACCAACCAACGTTGGTCGGTAATGGCCAAAAATTGACCAAAACGTGACCATTTACGTGTGGACGGTATTTTTGTGGTCAGAAAGGAATACCGACCAAAGTTGGTCGGAAATTACCGACCAACTTTGGTCGGTCAATTAAATTCAAAAAAAAAAATTGCAAAAACAACCGACCAAAGTTGGTCGGTTTTATTAAAAAGTAAAATTACCAACCAAAGTTGGTCGGTTTTTTTAAATGGCCGCCCGAATTAACCGACCAATTTTGGTCGGTTTTTTTAATATTAATTTTTATTTATTTTAATTAAAAAACCGACCAAAGTTGGTCGGTTTTATTAAAAAGTAAAATTACCAACCAAAGTTGGTCGGTTTTTTTAAATGGCCGCCCGAATTAACCGACCAATTTTGGTCGGTTTTTTTAATATTAATTTTTATTTATTTTAATTAAAAAACCGACCAAAGTTGGTCGGTTTTATTAAAAAGTAAAATTACCAACCAAAGTTGGTCGGTTTTTTTAAATGGCCGCCCGAATTAACCGACCAATTTTGGTCGGTTTTTTTAATATTAATTTTTATTTATTTTAATTAAAAAACCGACCAAAGTTGGTCGGTTTCTTGAAACATAAATTTTGCGGGACTCAAAAATAGTTTTTCGCATTTTTGCGCCAAAGAAAACCGACCAAAGTTGGTCGGTTTCGTAAAAAAAATAATAATAATTTTATTTTTTGAAAAACCGACCAACTTTGGTCGGTTTTTTGACCGACCAAAGTTGGTCGGTCGACTTGGTCAGTTTTTGCCAAATTTCTAGTAGTGATGCTTAACTCCGGCCTTCAGCTACATCTCCTACACAAAATTTCAGGTAAAATAATTATACCAATAATCTACTTGATTATTCTTTTATTAAATAACCAAATATTAAAATTTTGATTTGGACAATATCAATCAAACCATGTTTTATTGATTATTTCAGAACGTTCTCAATATACGGCAAGTACAGACATATCTACAAAGAATTCACATAGTATTATGTTTGGAATCCTTAACCGATAATATGAAATAGAAAAAAGATTTGTATTCGATCTAATCGCTAAATATCACATTTTTCCTACATCATTTGCATGAAAAACAATTCTTTCTTTTTGTAATATTTTCCAAAATTTTAATTTGGAATTCTTTCATAAATTATTGACTTAAGAATCTCGTACAATGCACGAATCTAGAAACTAGTATTATATTAAAAGCACGAAGGCCCTTAGCGAAATGTCGTTCGCCTTTTCTACCCTTAATAAAAAAGAATTCACACTAGACAAAATAGTCATTTTAATATTTTTCTAATATTTAAGAATAATCATTTTATTATTGTCCTAATATTTAGGACTTCAAAATTAACTATATTTTGTGTACCAAGACCTTCCTTATTTGAATTATGTGTAATATAACATATTTGAAAAGGAAAAGTAATAACAATTTTAAAAAGAAAAGGAAGAGTAAGATTAGTCTTTGACTGTTTTTCGTTTCGCCCTTTAGATTCCGTTTGTTCAATTTCAAAACTAAAAATAAAATACAAAATAAATGTTTTAGATTCACTCAAATTAAATAATTGTATTGCCACCTTCCTTTTTTTACTTTTTCTAAGTGGATATTTTACAGCTAATGTTTCATCATAATTACAAAGATTAATATTACAATACTTAGCAATTCGTAGGAATACTATAGTAATGTATTAAAATGTTCACACTTTAAAATCAAATAAAATTTTCAAATTATTAAATATTTCTTAATTTAAACTATGTTAGAAGTTCTAATATTTTGAAAATTTTAAAATCAATTAAAATAACATATATTAGTCTGTTACAAGAAAATTATATTGTATATTAATTTTATTTATTAACTATTTTTTTCTATAATACCTATAATTTATAATTAAAAAAATTGACAAACTAACATATTAAGACAAAAATTAAACAGTTTGACTTTCGTATTAAGAAGTTGATTGGAAAGTAAAGGAGAGTTTTCTACTTTAATATATTTAATGTAAATTCCTAAATTTGTATAGCTATTTAATTTTGAACTATATTTTATGATCTTTTGTTTTAGAACATTGACTCAACATATTTTATTTTTAGCCTTATATTCATCATTTTCATGAGTTTATTTTCAATTTTATTTTATATCTCAAACACATTTAAAATTATTTATCTAATTTTTATAATTTTATACTTGTTGTTATCGGTTCACGCGCAATACACATACTCTAATGCTAGATTGTGTTTAAGTCACTGAAATACAACAAGGCATTAGAGGACTTTTGCGGGGTATGATTTCTTCCTTTATCAAGTTAGGTAAATATGATCAACATTCATTATTCCCAAAAACTTACACTTTTACTTTAATTTTTATTTTATAATTCAAACATATTATTTAGTAATATATGTGATTTTTAAGATCGTCTTGTCATTGAGACGAGGATCACGCGCAAAGCGCGTACCCTAAGACTAGTGTTATAAATAGTGTGAGACTAAAATTAAAAACTATTAAATATATAAGAAGATAATATTTCACTTTTCTTTTAATTTTGTCTTCTTCAATCAATCTAGACTATTATAAAAGCATGAAACTTCAACGCAAAATTGATCGACCTTTTTATCTTTTAAAAAAAAATTACAATCGGCAAACTTATCATTTAATTAATACTTTTTAATATTTATGACATTGAAATTAACTAAAGATCTGGCTATTAAATCTTTTCTATTTGAACTATATAGGAACTCCTAATATTTAGGAATATAATCATAGTAAGATTACTCATATAAGTCGAGTAAGTTAATTTTCACAAGATTCATAACTTTAGAAATTATTATTTTTACCGGAACAATCCAGGTGACACTAGAAGTCTTCCACTTCAAATTACTAAGAGACAAAAATTTAAAGCAAATTGTACTGAAATCATACTCACGAGCTCACGATTATTTTTAGATTGCTAAAATAAAATTTAAGGTTAGTAATGTTTGAAAATGTTAGCTATTTTAAGCTATTTTTGTTTTAAAAAATATTAATAGAACATTTCCAGAAAGTGTTGTCATAGAGTTTCGTAGTTTCGTAGTTTCTTGTAGTATCGATAAATCTATCTAGCGGATAGATATTGCATGTAGTCGCAAATAAATATCAAGTTAGGGATATATGGCTAACTGATATAAGCCCATCATTATTGAGCTAAAGGAAGTAACAATATATATTAACATGTATAATCTCTTAGCTTTATCGTGATAATGATCGAATCTACCTAGAAGGATGGCGTGAGAACCTAAATCTATCCCTAAAGAAAGTTCAAATAATAAGGTATTTGTAGAGTAGAGATCTTCTTTTATTGAGTTAGATAAATGTGATTACATTCATGATTATTTTTCAAGAATTTGAATTTTTTTAATTTTCTTTTTGACAATTTAGGCACCTTTGTGAATATCATTTATGTAATTTTCATAAAATCTGTATTCATTGATATGAAACTCTAAGACTCGTGTATATATATAAAATTTTAACCTAGTATATATAGTATAATTTTCCGGCGAAGGGATTCGGATGAACTCCTTCCATTCCCTAGCTCCGCCCATATATATATATATATATATATATATATAATTTTAACCTAGTAAATATAGTATAATTTTCCGGCGAAGGGATTCTGATGAACTCCTTCCATTCCCTAGCTCCGCCCATGAGTATTATGTACAGAAACACTGAGCTTGTGCAGTCGAAAATGAAAAATCCAAATTGTCGTCATATCTGTTGTACTTTTGGGACTTGTAGGAGCGGTCTAATGCTGTGTTTGTGGTACTAGGAAATCCAAATTTGGTGACTGTTTTAGTGGCCAATAAGGCTGACTTGGATTCAGAAAGAATGGTGGACAATGAGGTATTTCAATTAGTACATTTTACTTGCGGCTTTTCTAATAATGAGGTTTAGGCATATACTATTCAATATAAGTGATATTGCATAAGAAATGAAGGAAGATGAAGTATCTATACCATCTCCAACTGATTGCACAGGAAGGAAACCAATATGCTAAAGAGAATGGCTTGCTATTCTTTGAAACTTCAGCAAAAACTGCTCAGAATATAAACGAGCTCTTCCATGTAATAGGTAATTGTTAAACATCACTTTCCTGATGAGTTCCCAATATAATGTCCATGCTTTGATAGGATTTTAAAATTTTCAAGCCAAAACAAATGCATTATGCAGCAAAGAGATTAGCTAGTGCTGCCCCAGCTCACCTAGGTGGAATGAAACTACACAACAGAACAGGGGAAGGAGTGAGGAGACTATTCTGTTGCTCTGCATGAGATTACATTCCAGTGAGTTCTTTCTTGGTAAATAATACGTACTATGTTTATTTTGCAATGGTCATGGGATGGTAATTCTGTACTGAATGTGCAGTGTTAATACGATTCCTTGTCCTTTTGCATCATTTAAGTTTGACATAAAGACAGTTTCGAAATATGAAAAAATCAGAAAGATGTGATGCATCATTGTTGATCGTTCCCGACCATTTAGGTGCTCTTTGCTTTATCCTACAGGAGATACATGATATATAACTCCTGCAAAGAAAATAAGGCCCTTCATGACTGAAACAGGGTACAAGTCTAAGCGTGAGTAACGATTATGGTCTTTGTGGTGTATCTAATATATACTACTAAGGTTATTATTTTACTACTCTTGTATCGGATATCTTTAATGATATGTGAACCTTATTTGCGCTGTTAATGTAGTTAAATTCATGTGAACATGGCATTTGGATGATTATGTCGAGTCAAACTGAAATTATTCAAGTGAATATTTGTCCGGCTGTTAGGAACATATATTCCTAGTTATGTTATGGTAAATATAAGGTGGAAAAAATAGTTTTGTAGCTCATAGTTCGAACATGTTAATTGAAAGAAATTTGATTCACCCCTCTACCCCTAAAAACAAAGTCTACCATGTTTTATGCCAAAATGTGTCTTTTGGAAGCCAAGAGCTTCCACTTGCACATACTAAATACCAATAAGGGAATACGGCCAGATAAATGTGTATTGGGATTAAAATAACAAGATGCATGTGGAAGCTTACAATGCAATGATTGATGGACGATAAATTAGAGTATAAAGAAAAATATACTAAACTAGGCATAATAATTTATTATGATTTGGTCAATCGACCTAAATATAATCTATCACTAATGTAAATAGAGAATATTCTCCCCTAAACGTGATTCTCGTAAGAACTACATTATAGATGCTATTGTTATTGTTCTTGTTGTGAGAAGCAAACGACGATTTATAGAAGTACAAAATTTCTCCTCCAAGAAAAGGATAAGGTACATGAAGGAAATTTATTTATTTTAGGAGTCTTTTTCTCGTCAAGTAAAAGAGACCTAATAGATGCGGAATTTAGGACAAAATCCTAACAATTCTCCTCTTGCCCTTAATTTTCTTGATAAAATCTGATCCACTTTCTTCATATAATCTTCATTACTGCTACTTGGCATGATTAAAAATAAGTACAGGTTGAAAAATCTTGGTATTGGTTGAAAGAAGACCAAGAATGCGTTAAAAGGAGCCCGCGCATTAAGAATAAGTATGGCTTTAAACTAGGGGCGGCAAACAGGCGGGTCGGGTCGGATATGGACGGGTTGAAAGCGGGTAATGCAAAACGGATAAATTATCCTACCCGATCCATATTTGATACGGATAAAAAATGGGTTAACCGGCGGATAATATGGATATCCAAATTATCCATGGTTTCTTAAATATGATCACCTTTGGAGAAATTCTTAATCTCCTAAACTTGAGGAATCCCCAATTTGAGGCTTTACAAATGTAAAAGCTAAACCCATTAATTATTCATTGGTTACCTATTAGTTATCCATTTTCTAAGTGGATAATATGGTTCTTATCCATATTGGACTCGTTTTTAAAAAGATCATTATCCAACTATTTTGTAATGGATAATATAGGTGGATAACTGTTTTCTTTTAACCATTTTGTTATCACTAATTTAAACTGTTATTGATTAAAAGGAGCTCATACGTCACAAGTAAGCATGAGTTAAAACTGGCATTGGTTAAAAGGAGCCCAAATATGGGTTATAAAAGAGTTTTTATTTCTATAAAAGATGCGGCAACAGGAGTTTTGAATATTTATGATTGTAATTTATCTCCACATGTAGCATTACGTCCAAACTTTTTGGATAAGTCTTCATTATCGTCAAATTAGTTGCGGCTTGATTTGAACCCCCATGAATCTGTCTTCGATCTTGCTTCGAACCATTGGCTCTGATATCACTTGTTGGGATCAAAATAACAAGGTGCATGCGAAAGCTAACAATGAAAAACTTGATGGACGACAAATCAGAGTATAAAAAAAATATATACTAAACTAGGCATAATAATTTATTATGGTTTGATTAATCGACCTACATATGATCTATCACTATTATAAAAAGAGAACAAAATTTTTGAGAGAATAATCTCCCCTAAACATGATTCTCGTAAGAACTATATTGTGGATGCTATTGTTGTTGTTCTTGTTGTGAGAAGAAAATGTCAATTTATAAAAGTACAAAACTTCTCCTCCAAGAAAAGGATAACGCATATGAAGGAAATGTATTCCTTTTAGGAGTCTTTTTTCCTTCATTCAAGAAAGAGAGTCCTAATAGATTAGAAATTGTGGACAAATTCCTAACAATGTGAACCGTAATTCTTATAAATAATAATCCCTCCATTTTAATTTATGTGAACCTATTTCCTTTTTAGTTCGTACTAAAATGGATCAATCCATTTCCATACAAAATATATGTGACTAATTTTACACTACAAACTCAAATGGCTTTTTTTTTTATTTTTTAAGCTCCGTGTCCAGTCAAATAGATTGACACAAATTGAAACAAGGGATTAAGAAAACAGTAGCAGCTCAAACAAAAGTATCAGTTCATGTTAGATAATGAAGCTTCTTTATTTCATGGGGGTTCAAGCAATGCATAGAAACCATCAGAAGTCGTCCTTTTCTAAGAGGACAACAGACCCCACAAGGTTCCTCTCTTAAGCTTTAGTTTTCTTGTCCAAACTTCGTCGAATTCAGCACAAAGAGGTCCCTTCTCATGAAAAATGGAGATATTTGTTGCCTCTTCTTTTGGTCCACCACCTCTTCGCATGCACCTTTTTAATCCCAACACACCATATGCATTAAGAAAAAGGAAAAAAGAGATGCTCGTTTCCTTCGCTCAGATAAAGAGGGACTTTGACAATGCACAAGCAGGCTTATCTAAAAACAAGAAACAGAAAGAAAGCAGAAAGGAACACTTAGGCATGAACTTGGTTTAAGCGCCCCCATTAACACGCCTCAAACTTTGTATGTTTCCAATGAGTCTAATATTAGTCTTTGTCAGCAGTCTTTTGCATCCCTGTTACAACAATTAATACTACGCAAAACTAACTAACCATACACTAGTGCAGCTCACAAGACGGCAAAATAACATTAGAACAAAGGCCTAATGAATGACCGCATTCTATAACATGAACTACCAGTTTACCCTTAAAATTGGATAACAATTAAACTTATGATGTGATCCAAAGGATACGTGATTTCACTTAATACCAATTGATAAATATGAAGAATAATAACATAAATGAATTATAAAGTAAGGCAAACCAGAGTTAAAATGGAAATCAGCCCTCAAGTTTGGATACCCTCAAACTGGTAGATGTAAGAATTATAAAAATATAACAAGCTAATGAACAATAGTATAAATGAGAAAGAGAATTATATTGCTTTAATATCTGTGAACAATGTGTCGTACAAATGATTAAAACCCCCCTTTAAATAGTAGAGGAATTCCACTTATGGTATAATTCTAATTACAGAAGGAAATCTCATGATTAGCTAATTAACCGTTTCTGATTTGATCCGTTCCGAGATTTACGTCATGATCCTCGACCAGTCACGGATATCTCGCCTTTTTGTTATTGTGATATCTTCGATCTTGCTCGATGTCTGTCTCATTTGGCTTCGATCGCTACTAGCCTCGATCTCGACAGGTACCTCGATTTTGAACTCGGTACCTTATCCTCGTGATTTAGTCTTTTCCGTTACGAGTCCATCCTTCGATTCAACCTTCAGGTCTCGGTCGAATAGTAAAATCGGATGGGCCCGATTTTAACCGTATACATATAGTCCCCATATTTTTTGGAGTAAAATGACAAGAAACGAATTGAGCCTTTGATTTTCTACCTCGACCTGTCATGACGTCATCCTTGTGACGTAAGCGACGGGAGTGACCGAAATATCCCGTCGGTACATTTTTTCAAGTCATTAATGATTGTCAGTTGGTGGTCGGCCACTAGTGCCTTTGAATCGTCGCCGTGAATCCAATAAATAGACCCATTCCTCATTTATTCAAACTTTACATTTACTTCCTTCTAATCTCCAAAGCTTTTACATCTCTTAAGTTCTTCCCTTTTACAAATCTTCAGGTTTTGCTGTTAGTCCTTTCTCAAACGTTAAGTCCTATTATCTTCCTCTTCTTTAAACTTACACAAAAATGGCAAAAATATCGAAAACGGTACCACAAAAAGAAGTTGCTTCATCTTCTCAACCGGCCGGCGGAAAAACGCCGGTGGAACCCCGTCTTGAGGAATGCATTCCTGGGGGTGCGTGATAAATTCCGATTTCAAGACCAATAAGGCCTCGTCGATTCCTGGTCAATGCGAGCCAATGTCGAGGTATGTATGCTTGATAACTGAGGGATTCCTTAAGCAGGTAAAGAAAGACTGCAACTGGGAGGGCAAAGAGGTGGTGATCCCGACTCCCGAAGAAGACATCACCACCCATGTGGAAAGGTTTCTAAGTGTTTACACTTACCCTTTCACATTGGCCCCTCTCGACCCCGTCATCGTTGATTTTTGCCGTCAATATCAAATAACCTTAGGCCAAATCCATCATTCCTTTTGGCGAATTGTTATTCTGCTCCGATTCTTCGTGAGCAAAGTCGAGGGGCTCCCTTTCNTATGCCATTTCCTGAGAAATAGAACATGGATCGTAAGTACCGTCTCACTGTTAGCTTCCATATATTATTTGTTCCTTTGTCTTTTCTCATCGATGTCTTTTTCCATGATGTAGGTGTCGCTTGGATGCCCCGTGCGATTCCCGACCTCGAGAGCTGGGTTCGGAACCTGGCCTCGACTTCTACATACGTCGAGCGCTCATGGCGCGATTTATCAAATGGCCGATGGGAGGCCAAGAATCATGGTAAGCCCACTTTTTGTGTATTTAATGATTTGATTAAGATTCCCTTCTTCTACTTATTCAATTTCCTCATATACAGGCCTGGGCAAGGATGCGGTCATGAGGTCCCCATCTGGTGAGGAGGAGACTTCGACCCCGGTTCCGAAGCCGGCAAAGGATAAGAAGAGAAAAAGGACCTCAACCTCCGAGGATCAAAAGCCTAAGAAGAAACAGGCTCGTAAGCCGAAGAAAGACATTGTTGCCCTACCTGCGGATGTGATTCAACGGCTAAGGGAGGAAGAAGAAGAAGATGAAGACGATGGCTCAGAACTGGTGGCCCGAGTGAAGAAAACTATCGAGGCCCCAAAGGTCGTTGAGTCGGTGGTGGTTGAGGAGATTCCGCCTCGAGCCGAGGGGGTCTTGGAAAAGGACTCGGGCAAGGTCCCCGAGTCGTCGAAGATCGAAGATGCCTCCCGCCGAGATGGGCAAAAGGCGGGTATGTCT